GGGGCGAATTTTCATAGTGTCCTCCATGTTTTATTTCATATGACTCGTCGCAGTATCCCACAGCCGGACATGCTTGTGACGCAAAGCAGCCGGCGTCTACACATCCGCAGCGACATCTGCTGGACTGGAAGTTGTATTCCACTTGGTTTGGCTGATGTGCGCCAACCATTCATGTATTTTATTTGTTCATTTTTTTTTCTTTCTAATAATCGATTCTTGCCTTCAATAATCGATGCAGTAGATCACAAAAATTAGAATCGCGATGCATCGTCATGACGATTATTTTGCACATCCTTAGTTTAGGCCAGGGTTCGGCTTCGTGCGGACGGGGCCTGAGACTTCTGCTCTCCCCAAAAGGGGGTGGGGGGAGGGGTGGCTAGAGTAAGGAGGGGGAGGGAATGGGCCTGTGAACTATTAAGGGGAGAGAGAGGTTCTGGTTGGGTGGCCCATACGGGACATGTTGGCCCTGTCCCCGGGGGGCTTGTGCCAGGGGTCGTCTGGTCTGTCTCTCCTCTTCCCTTGGTGGGGGTACAGATTTCCCGGGTTGGCCCCTCCATGGTGCCTTTGCTCTGGGGATCTGTTTGGGCATCTGGGCTCGCCTCGGTGTTCTTGGGGGGGCGGGTCTTTGGCTCTTCACAACCACTATTGAGCATTTTTCCCTTTGGATAAACTTTACATGCACAACTGCACTCTCACAAACAACTACAGGTGTTTGGTTCCAGGTACTCGGAGATTCACTTCCACACAGAAAGCCCATATTCTGATCTTCAGGAAACACAGAGTCTATGTCAGATTAAATAATACTACTTATACTTCAGCGATAGCATCAAGGTCTCCCTTTTATCTCCTTTTTCTTTCATCTTTTCACATGATTGCGACAGCCCTACTGCTCTGGAGGAGAAAGTAAAATCTGTTGGGCTCTTTTTGGCATCAAAAATAAATATTCTCACAGACAGGACACTGTTAAAAAAAAAATTAATTGTCTCTGTAAAGTTTAATGACGTGCTATGAATTGATTCTATATAAGTAAACTTATTTGAAATTGATTGAAATTAATCATATTGAATTCATAGCACCTAATTTGAAAACAGAAATTTGTATATAAATATAAAATATAATAAAAAAAATATAAAAAATATATATATTTATAAAAAAGTAACATATGAAAAAAAATTTAATAAAACTATCTTTGAAAATGGCAAAGTTATTCTCAAAACCTTTGTTTTTATTAAAAGATTTTTGAAAGTTTTATTTTTGAATCAGATTTCTTTCAAATCTCAATTTACAAATTTCAAATTTCCATTCCTATAAGATGTTCTTAGGCTGCAACAACAATGGAACAAATGTTAGTAATGTTAGTAAGTACGGTTGGTGGTTCTGCAACATACTTTAGACGTGTCTTGTTCCTCTGTGGATTTTCCTTGTTTTTTATGCTGTTTTAAACAATGTGCAGCTATGAAGTAGTTCTTCTTTATATTTCCTTAACTGTATAGCCTCTTATTTTAATGTTTGCTTCTATGTTTTTTACAGTTGCATGCATCTGCATATATTTCCATTTGCTTCTCAGTAGCTGTTTGGACGTGATTTTCCTCAGTATGGGACAATAAATGTTATTCTATTCTCTGCTGTTCTACTCTATATCTTCTTGCAGCACGTGTCAGCAGCGTTGGGTTGCTCAGAACCTTGAGAAGATTTAAAACTGATTTAAACTAAGATGGCAAAAGGGTTATCACCTAATCAGCTAAAAGTTGAACTCGCCAATGTGTGGAAATCAAGACCTGGCAGCAGTCAGCATCTTTAGGGGGATTAAGTCGATGGATATTTGTAGGATTTACTCTCAGCAGCACTGCCTCTGTGGTAACTATACCGTGGTGCATAGGGCAACACCATCCAACGCGTTCTGTGAAGCTTGCAGCAAGAGAAAAAAGAAACAAAAATAAAACAGAAACGCAGATTTCAAAATACATTTTTAATTTCCTTGAAAATCATTCAAGAGAAAAGGGATTTTTTTTTTTTGTACATGGGACATTTCTACAGTTTCTTTTCATGGATATTTACAAGAGCATGGTAAAACATTTGTCTTATATTTGTATATCACATCAACGGTACAAACTGAACTCTGCTGGAGATCTGCCCGATCAGAAACAAATAACAACCCTGAGATAATTAACAAGAACAACTGAACTGACAAATTCTCTACAATTAGCTTCACTGTACAATATTTTTCAATATTTGGCTAGTTTAAGTTACTGT